AATCTATTTCTGCATCATCTGCAATAAGACTTTTGATTTCCTGAGATATGTAAGACCCCACGGCTATAGACATTCAGATACAGCATACTCCTGACATATAAGCATATGATAAAGGTATTAGCCCAAAGTAATTAACACATATTATATACAAACACATGAAATATAATATAAACATAATATGAAGTTAACACTCTGTAAGTCTGTACCTCTGAACTCCCTCATTTTATAACGAGCTGATTAGATTCCTTTAAACTATTCCCTCACTTTTCCTCTGATGTAAACTGCTTGGAGATGATCGTATTGCAGGGGATGGTATCCAATGGAAAGAGACTTCATAGATCCCAGTGCAGATAGGGTTAACACTCCGTTAACCCTATCTCCACTTCTCCTTGAGATTTCAACCTCCTCTTGTTCTTCTGTTTTACCTTCTCTATCTCTGCTTCCAATTTCAATTCTCTTCTCTGGGCTCTCTCCTCCAGCTGGCATTTTCTGCAGAGCTCCTCGTCCAGCAGCTGCCCTTCTTCATCTTTGGTTTCCTTGCAGATGTAACATCTGTATGACATTCTGAATCGTATAAGTATATTTGTTTGGTGTTGGGTTAGTACGTAGCGGACAATGGTAGTGTGAGGTCGTATTTGTAATATACGTGAACAAGTGAATCAAATAATTAAACAATGTCAGGCTCATTGCGATAATAAGGAGCATTTGAAGCACACAACCAGTGGTTGTTGTTGAGATTCAAAATTTGAATCTACTCGGGCACTTATCTGATGTTCTGTGCTTTGCTTGACATAAGCGGTCACAAAATGGCCAAAGGTTGTGCGTATCCTGCTTTCTTTTTACAGGTCTTTTGTTCGAAAAATAAATATATACATATATTCTCAGACTTAAAAAATAATTTCTACAGGTATGAATTTGCGAAAATTTAAAATACGCGTTAATTTAATGTTTATCTGATAACTATAAAAAATAGTTATCAGCTATCAGTTATAAGCTCCGATAGATCTTTTGAACCTGCTGGATCGACCTCTTAAAGTCTTATTCCTGAGCGGCCTCATATTTGCTGCATTATCCCTAACAAAACAACGGATCTTATCCGACAGTTGGAACGGATCCAGTTTCTCCTCGATCAGATGAAGAATGTTCTCCGCGGTGTGCTCAGCATTAAATGGGATGCAATCTAGCACAACCATCTTGGGCTGGAACTCAGAATTGAGGTAGTGAAGAGTTAATGAAAGAAATGAGTCGTTAGCTTCGCTTGTCTAAATATCCGTGGTAAGAATCGCATGATCCCCAACTTTCTCAACTATTTTTTTCACATGTGCCAATAATATCGACCTCTTAAAGTCTTATTGCTGAGCGGCCTCTGGGCGACCTGTTTTACAATATCATTTTTATGATTCTTATTTCTAAAGTTTAAAAAATTAGCAACATAAATTGTAAACACGTAATATTTGTGACACAACAATCCAACAAAACCGACTGGTAACTTATTAATATTATCATTTTCGGAATATCTTAACAATAAATTAATAATTGGTACCACTACCATTGTGAAATGCATTTTGCTATCATTATCTGTGATGGTCCATTTAGATAAGGAACTCTGCTCTAGGTGGGTCATCTTTGGGTCATCTTTGGGTCATTTTTCTGACAGGCAGGACCAACGCTGCTGTTTTCTGACAAAAGTGAATAAGTCAGCTATTGAACATTTTGCGCAAATTGACTTCAAAATTTTCAACTCAAAGTCTGAATGTCTATCTTGTGATGTTGTTCTTGAAATGCCATTTTAGATGAACTCCTTTGCAACGGGGTTTTTAGCGTAACAGTTTTTACTCTACTAAATGTGAAATGGAAATCTAGCGTCCGCCAAAACGAAACAACGGGCGCAATTCTTGTTAGATATTCGTCTCACCTTAATTCCTGTCTCACATGCCTGTAGCCCCAGGCTCCATCTGTGTGCAACAATATCTGTGACAGCTTGGGTTACTTCTTGGTCAGACAAACTGTTGTCTGTTCTTTTTATCTCAAAAAACTGTAGCATTCTGAAAGTTTCAACTTAAAGATTTTTGATGACTCTAAAGTCTAAAGATTCTAAACATGCGATTAAAGCCCGTAAAGGAAACTGTTTAACATTTCATTGTAGCTAAATGTTCTCAAATTATTTATTTCATAAAAATGGTGTAAGTATTTTTACTACCCGAATATTACATTCTGTAACAATGTTTTGAGAACACAGCAGAAGTATTAACATATATTACCTCTCAATTGTTCTTGATGAACTTGGATATTGATCGTAGTCCTTTTTAATTCTGCCTCTGATCACGTCCGTTGTGTAACTTTCTTTTACTAGATAATAGATCCTCTAGATATTGGCGGAGATTGTTGTTGGCGGAGATTGTGAAAGTAAATTAGCAGCCGCAGTTAAAGTTAAACTGTTCATGGTTTGATCTATATCAATGATTATTTAAGTTGTAAGGTATTGTTTGATGGCTGCTTGTTTGCTTAAATGTTTAGTGACTTTGTTAGTAATTGTGGAATCAATAAGGTGGAGTCTGTTATATTCCAAATCAACGCTTACGTAGAGAGAGTAGGTAACGCGTTCAAACATGTCTTAGCACAAATGGGCACAAATGTGTCTTTGGCACACCAAAGCCCAACATACCGAAGGAGGGTGCCTCCGAGCCTGGGGTTGACCCAAAGGCAGCGAGTTCAGTGTTACTGTTCTTCCTGGAATGAGATGAAGTCTTCGTAAGAGTAGGAGTCGACTTGTTAAGATGAGCCATGATCAGATCAAGCTGTTTCTTATCAGCAAGTCAGTGCACTTAGGAAAAGATTAGAGAGCAAAAACGTTGATGCTTAATGTAAAGTAAAATGTGTTCAATAAAAAGTAATATGTGTTGAATGAAGTAAAATGTGTTCAATTCAAAACTCTAGGACTTTCCTTATCTCTAAATCTTACGCATCTTTAATCTTTGGGTCAGGACCAACGGTGAAAGTAAGATTGTCAAAATTGCGGGTCAATTATCAAATCCCTAGACAGTTTCAATAAAACGTTTATCCTTGAGCTTTCACGGAGACTAACTCAACTAGATTTGAATCTCTATAGCAACTGAGCCCCTCCTCTCCCCCTAGTTTGTGGAGCAAAATAACACGTACTTACACTTTTTTAAACATGATGAATAATTTCTGCCTATAATTCTGCTTTTTTTGCATAGTATGTATTTTAATTTGGTGTAAGTGGTGGCCGTTGTATTCTATAAACCGTTTTTAACGAGTTTTTTAACGATTCAGTATTTTGTGAGGAGTTTTAGGCAGAATGAACTGTGGCTCATTTTTTATTATTTAAGCTGCGCTACGAGCACACACGCTAGCTAGTTAGTTTTTAGATAGTTAAGAGTATTAGTTAGTTAGTGTAAATTGGTATCAGTTAGCACACAGAACTCAGAACTGTTAGTTTTCGCGAAGCATGTCTGACTTTCATGTATATTCTTATAGTGATAGACTTTATCATATACATTTATTTTGAACTTAGTAACAATTTCAGGGAATAAATAGAAATTTAAGATTTCATTTCTATTCTAATATTTTGCTTGAAGAAGTATGGTCCGAAGAGGCGTTGCGAGCAGATTCCAATCCATTTGGTGATATTTGAAGAATGAATAGGGCGCTTCTACAGGCCAGTGTACCGCATTGTGGCTGTTGATTGTTCCATTCAGTTCGCACTGGCCTTCGTCAAACGCTTTAGCGTAGTCTAGATAAATCACATCAACTTCATAATTGTCCTGGAGATTTTTGAATATGTTTTCCCTATGGTCAAGGAGCTGTGTGAAGCAGCTCCTAACTGATCTTAATCCGTTTTGGTTGTTAGTGATTATCTTGTTATTCTCTAAATAGTCCAAGTCTGCCCGTTTACGCACGACTCGAAGAATTCCTGATTTGAGAAGTTCTGTGTTTTCCTTACCCGGTTCAGCGACCAGAGTTGGTATCCCCTGAGCTGGTACCCTGTAAAAACCGGATAAATCTGGACCTTGTATATCTAACTCAGAAATTCTTCCATATTAATATTGTTAGTTCTCATTGACCTAGTAACCCTTCTATTTTCAAAATTGTTGTAGAATTGTTGACAGCGCTCTGGTATCCACCATGCGTTTAATAAAGAAGAATGCTCTCAGTGCCTTTTTTCTGAGTTGGTGGCACACTCAAGTGAACTTTACCCTATATCTAGTCCATGATCCATTTCTTATTTCTAGGTCAATTAAATTCTACTGATGGATCACATCACTAATTAATCGGCTTTTTGAGAAAGAAAGAAAAGATATCAACAAACCTAATACTTTCTGTCCTAAAAAATTCAAGCAATTGAATTTGTGCATATTCCTAATATGAGGGTATGAGTCAAATATGTCGTTTTCTTACTTTCTTAGGTATTAATGATAAAAAGTGTGTGTTAGCCACGGGGAAGACTTCTTAAACTAAGATCATTAATATTTTCAAATACTAATTTCATATCAGAATCACGACTCAAATTTTCTACATTATTTCCCCCAACCGGGAGAAAAAGAAGCACACGTACTTGACTTCTCTGATAGGTTGTAAAAAACTGTTCTGAAGTTTGTATCCTTTGTAATAAAGTTTTTATAAATTGCTTTAGACTCTCTAAGTAACAGAACAGAGTGGACGAATTAGTGCGTTTAATTTTAAATACTCCGTTTGCAAGTTTAGAGTCAGTGGTTGATGCCTCTCGTTCGTGCTACCAGTCATTTTATTAAGCTATTAAAAAATTAAATTTTACGGATTTTATCATAGCATAATTCAATAAGGTTACATTTGATATTTTATTATTCTATTACGGTAATAAAGTACTATAGAGTTGAAATAGAATTCTTTACGAATTTTGATTTCTGATCCTTTTAGCACTTTCAAACACCTGTTTATACTTGAAATATAATTGAATAATCTCATCTTAGTTGCTAGAATGTGGTGACTAATCCACCATAAAACATAACAAAACTTTCATCGTAATCACTCGAATAATTCACCGTTGCTGAAAAAATGTTTAAAATTTCCCTCCTTTGTTTGACTCTTCTCGTTTGTTATTCAGGTGAGCAAACTTTTTCAAGTAACTTAATTAATTTGAAATAAATTATTCATTTTTATTGTAGATTGTAGAATCAAAAAGAAAAAAAAAATGCTCGCTAACATATCATCACGAGATAAGAGAAGGAACAGTAGTATATTTATAACAAGAATTTAAAGAGAGAAACATATCTGCCGCTCTTCAGACGCAGTATGTGTTTGGGGACAATGGAAATGCCACTCACCAGAGAAATGCGACGGAAAGTATGATAAAGGACTCTTTGCATGCTCCTATGGATGTCATAAAGGATATTGCGCTTCCCAATGCATGGGCTGGTGCGCATCAACTGATATCCACCCCCGAGGTAGGTTCGGTGAAACATACCAACGTGAACTCAAGAACCTCAGAACCATCATGTTTTAGATTCACGTTTAAGCTATAGTTTTCCATGTACCTTTTGCGTTGCGTCTCACACTTGAAAAGGTGACGTCACACCGCCCCTCACATGACAATCGCATTATATTTGCTTTCATATTTGCCACGGTTACGAACCTCAATCTAAGTGTTATCGCCCTGTAGGTTGCTGTACTACTTGCAAGGAATGGTGCTATTTAGCGGCTGATTCTGACAGTGGTAAGTGCCATTAATCTCTCGAGGTCTACTGACCCCCCCCCCTCCCCTTAAATGTTGGGCGAATCAATAATCATAATCAATAATATGTAAGCTTCTGGTTTCCATAAAAATGAAATATAAAGACCGAGGAGTCCGTAAGGTCTAAGTTTTGTTAAGAGCTAAGACACTTTTCCAGGAATTGGAGCTGACTACAAGACTTGCACTGAGAACAGTGACTGTGACGATATTGCCGGCAACTCCTGCTCCAGTGCTTGTACGCTCTAAAGTTTAGACGTAATCAGATGTCAATAGCTCTGTATTTTATACTTTATAGTGTATACTTGAAGCGCTCTGGAATTTTACTGATTTGAATTCGAAACTGTTTAACTTTAAAACTGGATACGCTGAACGTTAATTTTTCTATTTCAAAATAACACGAGTCTTGATCCTGTTGTGATGTAAATGAACAAATGCAGGCCGTCCCAAAATTATGAAGATTAAAACTGTTGGGTCTGCCACTGGACTGAGTGTTCTTGTTACTTTTACAGTTTACAGTTGTCAACTAAGCGGTGAAAAAAAATGTCAGCAAGACTCCTAGCTGATTCCGAATGAAATGGCTACAGTTTTGGTATGTTTGAACTCATGTTCGTGGTTCAAAGCGTCTACAAGCTGGTAGTTCAAGCCACTTTATGTCTAATTATTGCAAGGTGATGCTTGTCTCGTAAAGCTGCAGGTTCGAAATCCTTGCTTCTTAAAATATAATCCTGAGTCTTCGTCCAACATGAGTCTGTAGAATCTTAGGTCTTTCTTAATCTTGTACTTATAACCGCTCTTTCGGTGAATTGTCTCGTCTCCTTCCGATTATTCTACATGTCACATGCCAAAATCGAGGATATCATAGATTTATAGAATCAAAATCATATTAAATACTAAAGCTACATTCAAATTCGATTGTTAACAAACTAAATTATTTAAAATCCCTTAATTTTTCCTTTGACTGGAATGAAAATTGCTTTTGATGCCACCGAACCACCTGTAGAAGATCTTGGAAACAGCTTTCTTTTCTAGCGATTCTAGTATTATAGGTAGTCATTAAAGATATAGCCCTCTCTGCCGAGTCATTAGTAGCTGAGAGGTTTCTTAGAGAGGACTTCAGTTGCTTGTACTCCGCTGTCAGGTGCCAATCGTCTTTCTCTAGAAACTGTGTGCTGACTCCTACAAGAGCAATCTAGAACGAGGTCCAGCGAAGTCAGCTAGAGTCGAGGAATCTTTTACTTCAGGCAGCTCTGGTTTCCTCACTTTAAGTCTTCCTTCTTTTTTTGTCGTCTTCACAATTGCTGCAGCTTCTCTCGTACTGAGATAGGCAGATTCTCATTAAAGAGGGAGAAGGAGATGTTCTCTTCGGTTAAGTACCTGGTGTGTCTCTGAAATACTTTGTTGCAGCTATCTGCTACCTTCTTGTCAATCTTCTTGTAGATGGTCAGATTCCTGGTAATTTCATCAATTATTATCAAAAATTCAAGATATTCTGTTTAACTATGAACTATGAAGATTGAAAATTAAAGTAACAATCTTCATCCGTTAAAATCTTAACTGCTATAATTCAGTAGTTTGAAACGAAATATTTATCTTAAGAAATTCTATTAACAAACCTGAACAGTTCAAGATCATTTGAAGCAGCAGATGTAACGGAGTGAGCTCTAAACCAAGGTTTAATGTTCACGAAAACAATGAATATCCCCAATTTCGTTAGCTTCTTCCCGCTTCCGTTTAGTGTGGTGAATATTGGTTAGCTGGTTCTGCGACAAGCACATTTTTAAGGCATAGATAGCTTTGGACATCCATCTTGCGTGATGGAAGGAATGAATACTGACGTGTACATGTAGTCTTAAAATTTCTATGGCAATGTCTTTACCTGAGATAACTGTTTACTTGGTAGCCGATCAGAGAAAATAAACATCTCAAAAGTTCTTACTAAGTAACTTTTAAACTACTTTAAATCACAATTCATAGTAAAGAGTCTGGTTACATGACCTCTGATATCCGAAGGTCAACAGGTGCTTACTGAAAGCTCACCACCAAAATACTATCAGCTTCACAATCACCATATAATTATTGGGCACATCAAAATCTTGTCTGTATTCGACCTCTGTTTCAACAGTTCTCGTGGGGTTCGCGTAATCAATAGCATTTATTACCTGTATTATAGCGCACATGTGCCCGGTTTCTGTACCAGCGACCAGCGTCAAGACGTAGTCGTCGTGGTAACAGTCTACTCTCTATTAAGTAATCCAAATAGAGACGACCAATTACCCTTGGATCGCTGTTCGTTTGGCCGATCCACAAATACAAAATCTTGCGACTAAACGTATCTAAACATCTGAGATTGAGTATTACTTTTATAAAATACTATCACTCGTGTTTTTATGCTACATTTCATTTTGCTGCTATGATATGCTACACAAAGTTTAAACCCACCCGTTTGAATCGTAAAATATGATAAATACACCCACCCATATATCTTCAGATCAAATAAGGAATTCTGGTAGCCTGCAAGTTTATCGTGGCCGTCACACGAAAGAAGGTAATTAGGGCCATTAGATCTAAACGGCATTTTAGGTCGTTTGCCGAGAAATCTGGGTTTCCTCTGTTCTACCTCAACACGATCCACATCTCTTAACGTCCTCATCACTTTAGCTTGTGTCACGAGCATACTCCTGTTGCATCTAATAAACAAATCGGTAACACATCTGGAACCTTTGAGAACGTACTAACTTCTTTAGAAGGATACTATAACTATTAATACTGTAACTTATTAGATCCGATAGAAACGTCACAGAATATTTTGAGATAATCGTCTCACCTTAATTCCTGTCTCACATGCCTGTAACCCCAGGCTCCACCTGTGTCTGCTACAATCTCTGTGACAGCTTGGGTTACTTCTTGGTCAGACAAACTGCTGTCTGTTCTTTTTATGTGAAAGAACTCTAGCATTCTGAAAGTTAAGAGTTAAAGATTTCTGATAATTCTAAACATGCGATTAAAGGAAACTGTTTAACGTTTCATTGTAGCTACATTAAATTCATGTTCTCAGATTATTTATTTATTTCATGAAAGTGTTAAAAGTATTTTTCTACCCGAACGGCGAACATAAAATTTTGAAGATGAAAAGTTTTAAATCTAATGGTATTTTAACTTTGAGACGAACTAACAACACAGCAGATGTATTAACATAGAGATTAGAGACCTCTCAATTGTTCTTCATGAACTTGGATATTGATCGTAGTCCTTTTTCATTCTGCCTCTGATCTCTCCCGTTGTGTAACTTTCATTCACTAGATCCTCTAGGTATTTGTGAAGACTATTGTCTGTCTGCCAATCAGACATAACTGTAACAATAAGCCGTTATTAAAATTGTCGTTAAAATACTATCTATCATAAAATAGGTAAACACTAATTATATAAGTATAAAATTTTTAGCAAAATTTCTCGTCAGAGCATATTATCATTGTACTTATTATTCAGGAAACAAATAAATTAGAAAAAATAGGGTAAAAACTGGTATAAGATTTGCAATTTAGGATGTGAGTTAACAAAATAAAGAATGTTAATCTTTAGTGATTTAAATTATGTCAAAACAAAGCAATGCGTTCAAATACAATTTCGTTGCATTTACATAAATATTTCGATATTCGGGGGAAAGCTTGTCAGTGGTCGAATTAATATTGTCTGAATTATAGTAGAGATACTTGACTCCTGATCCTGTTGTGATGTAAATGAACAAATGCAGGCCGTCCCAAAATTATGGAGATTAAAACTGTTGGGTCTGCCACGTGATTGGGTATTCTTGATACTTTTACAGTTGTCAACTAAGCGGTGACAAAAATTGTCCGCAAGACTCCTAGCTGATTCCGAATGAAATGGCTACAGTTTTGGTATGTTTGAATTCATGTTCGTGGTTCAAAGCGTCTACAAGCTGGTAGTTTTAGCCACTTTATGTCTAATTATTGGAAGGTGATGCTTGTCTCGTAAAGCTGCAGGTTCGAAATCCTTGCTCCTTAAAATATAGTCCTGAGTCTTCGTCCAACATGAGTCTGTAGAATCTTACGTCTTTCTTAATCTTGTACTTATAACCGCTCTTTCGGTGAATTGTCTCGTCTCCTTCCGATTATTCTACATGTCACATGCCAAAATCGAGGATATCATAAATTTATAGAATCAAAATCATATTAAATACTAAAGCTACATTCAAATTCGATTGTTAACAAACTAAATTATTTAAAATCCCTTAATTTTTCCTTTGACTGGAATGAAAATTGCTTTTGATGCCACCGAACCACCTGTAGAAGATCTTGGAAACAGCTTTCTTTTCTAGCGATTCTAGTATTATAGGTAGTCATTAAAGATATAGCCCTCTCTGCCGAGTCATTAGTAGCTGAGAGGTTTATTAGAGAGGACTTCAGTTGCTTGTACTCCGCTGTCAGGTGCCAATCGTCTTTCTCTAGAAACTGTGTGCTGACTCCTAGTCCTACAAGGTCAATCTAGAACGAGGTCCAGCGAAGTCAGCTAGAGTCGAGGAATCTTTTACTTCAGGCAGCTCTGGTTTCCTCACTTCAAGTCTTCCTTCTTTTTTTGTCGTCTTCACAATTGCTGCAGCCAGCTTCTCTCGTACTGAGATAGGCAGATTCTCATTAAAGAGGGAGAAGGATATGTTCTCTTCGGTTAAGTATCTTGTAGATGGTCAGATCCTGGTAATTTCATCAATTATTATCAAAACATAAGATATTCTGTTTAACTATGAACTATGAAGATTGAAAATTAAAGTAACAATCTTCATCCATTAAAATCTTAGCTGCTATAATTCAGTAGTTTGAAACGAAATATTTATCTTAAGAAATTCTATTAACAAACCTGAACAGTTCAAGATCATTTGAAGCAGCAGATGTAACGGAGTGAGCTCTAAACCAAGGTTTAACGTACACGAAAACAATGAATATCCCCAATTTCGTTAGCTTCTTCCGTTTAGTGTGGTGAATATTGGTTAGCTGGTTCTGCGACAAGCACATTTTTAAGACATAGATAGCTTTGGACATCCATCTTGCGTGATGGAAGGAATGAATACTGACGTGTACATGTAGTCTTAAAATTTCTATGGCAATGTCTTTACCTGAGATAACTGTTAACTTGGTAGACGATCAGAGAAAATGAACATCTCAAAGGTTCTTACCAAGTAACTTTTAAACTACTTTAAATCACAATTCATAGTGAAGAGTCTGGTTACATGACCTCTGATATCCGAAGGTCAACAGGTGCTTACTGAAAGCTCACCACCAAAATACTATCAGCTTCACAATCACTATATAATTATTGGGCACATCAAAATCTTGTCTGTATTCGACCTCTGTTTCAACAGTTCTCGTGGGGTTCGCGTAATCAATAGCATTTATTACCTGTATAGCGCACATGTGCCCGGTTTCTGTACCAGCGTCAAGACGTAGTCGTCGTGGTAACAGTCTACTCTCTATTAAGTAATCCAAATAGAGACGACCAATTACCCTTGGATCGCTGTTCGTTTGGCCGATCCACAAATACAAAATCTTGCGACTA